GGGAAGGCAGTGACGGAGAATAACAAGCAGTGAGGACCAACCCAGGTAAGCTGGTTAGGGAAGGATGCTGGATGATCGAGCCCAGAGCTGATGTACATAATGAAAGCCCATTTATTTTAGTTTCCTAATTTTATTTGCTATTTTATATCATTACAGTCAGCCTTAGTATAGAGACTCGATGCAGGGGGGGGGCGGGGGGGCTGGGTTTTCACACTGAGCTCCGTATGAAGACGTGGGCATTGTGGTTGGTGTTCAGGAAGACTGCGCTCATGTGGTTGGAACACTTCTCTCCCTGGGGGCAATCCACCAGACATTGTTTCCTTTTTAAATCTCAGAGCAAGTGGAGCAAAGGTAATGCTATCGTTCATTAAGAGCCTACTTTGGTCTGCGTTTCACTCTTCTTCCTTTTCAGCGGTTCTCAACCTGTGGGTCATGACCCCTTTGGGGGTCGAACGACCCTTTCACAGGGGTCGCCTAAGACCATCCTGCATATCACATATTTACATTATGATTCATAACAGTAGCAACATTACAGTTATGAAGTAGCAATGAAAATAATTTTATGGTTGGGGGTCACCACAACATGAGGAACTGTATTAAAGGGTTGCAGCATTAGGAAGGTTGAGAACCACTGCTTTACATTATGGGTGTCCTAAAGCATGACGGTGGTTTGGGAGTATCTCCTGGGCGTTTGGAATATTTGTTGCGGGATTCTGGGTCTCCTTTGGAGAATATTGATTTTTGCTTGTTCGTTTGGATTTTTGAAGCCACCAATCTGGTTAGGTCAGACTGCACATCCGTCTTGCCTTCTGTGGGAGGTGGTCCCGGGCCAGATAATTTTTCACAATTTTCTGTGTGCTTCTTTGGGTTTGTTCAAAGCCAGTGTATCATGGTACACACAGAATTAGGGACCCCCTTCTCCAGCTCTTTTCTTGAGGGGGTATTTTCCCCATTCTCTGGTCCCCTCTTCTGTTCTTCCGGCCCAAAAGATGGGGGCGGGGGGTTTCAATTGGAGTTTAGCTTTCTGTCCCACTGCACAGTCTGAATGACTGATCCTGTCCTTGGGGTGAAATGGTGAGAGAAAGGACAGAAAAAAACCCATGGATTCCCCTCACATGGTCCACATAACATTGGCCTCATCCCTAAGCGATGGGTGGGTTTTCTCTTGGGACCCTTGGTGCCTGGATGGAGTGCAGTGCTGGTGGGAATGTAGAATGGCTCAGCCACAGCGGGAAACAGTTTGGTGGTTTCTCAGAAGGTTAAACATGAATGAATATGTGGTCCAGCAAGTCTACTTCTAGGTGTACACCCCAAAGAATCGAAAAACAGTTGTTCAAACAAATACTTGTATGCAAATGTTCTTAATAGCCAAAAGGTGGGAACAACCTAAATGCCCATGAGCTGATGAATGGATACACAACATGTGATCTAACCACATCATGGAATATTACTCAGCCAAGGGACGAGATTCTGATCCAGGATGTAACATGGATGAACCTTGAAAACACTTTGCAAGATGAAAGAAGCCAGCCAGCCAGCCGGCGTGGCTCAGTGGTTGAACATCAATCCATGAACCAAGAGGTCCCTGTTCAAATCCCAGTCAGGGCACATGCCTGGATTGAGGGTTCAATCCCCAGTGGGGGGCATGTGGGAGGCAGCTGATGGATGTCTCTCTCTCATAGATGTTTCTATCTATCCTTCTCCCTCCCTCCCTCTCTAAAATAAGTAAAAACATATTTTTTTAAAGAAGCCATCACGAAAGACCACACATTGTGGGATTCCACTTGTATGAACTGTTCAGAGTAGGTGAATCCATAGAGACGGGCGACAGGTTAGTGGTTGCTGGGAGAAAGAGGGAATAGGGAATGACTGCTTGGTAGGTGTGGTCTTTTCTTTGGGGATTGATGAAAATATTTTGAAATTGATAGAGACAGCATTGTAAACGTACTAAATGCCACTGAATTCAACACTTTAAAATGGTTAACGTGGATTTCATCTCAATAAAAAATGAATTAGAAAAAAAACCAGCTTTGTTAAAACAGAAAAGCTACCTACCCTAAAGTTAGTGACTAAAGGTTAATTGGGCCAGATCTCGTGGTGGGGAGTAAAATCGCAAATGCCTTGTAGAGCAGGACCTGGGAAGGATTACCAGGTCAGAACCCATGGTCTCTGCCCCATCCCATCTCCCAGGTGACTGACCTGCAAAGGCTGGGGTCAGTACACTTGTTTAGTTCGACTTGGGGACATTCTGAGGGAGGGACAGTGCCCAGAGGGACCCAGGGTTTGGCTGGATGCCGAGCTCATTCATGAGGTCTTAGGTTAAGATTCTGGACAATGTTGAATTGCTTTGACAACTGTGTGTTTTTCATCTGTCCATACTTACTTCTTTTTGCAATCATACACACTAGAAACTTGAAAATTCTTCCTGGATTTCAGATCTTACCCTTGCAAGGATTATGGCTGAAACCAGTGTCCTATTTGACTTTTGGAGGGTCAGAGCGTTGTTTCTGGTGGTGATCTGAAGGTCTGTGGGAAAGCGTTCAGACTTTCCAGGGCTTTCGAGGGAGATGGGGCTCCCGAGAGAGCCGTGGTGGTGAGGGGTGCACGCCTGGATCGGAAGCCGCACTCTACCTGCTGTGTGATCGTGGGCAGTTCAGTGTCTTAGGTCATCCTTTGTTTCCTCCACTGTGAAATGGAGACAATAGCAGAGTTTTCTTCATAGGGTCTCAGGAGGACAATGGAAAGTGATGCATATAAAATACTTAGAAGACTATCTGGTACATAGTAAATGCTCAATAAACAGTAGCTATTATTTGTGTGAATAATAATTGTTCTTACTATGATTTTTTTGCATAACCAGTGACTCCACTAGTATTTAAACATTTTCAGACAGCATCTAAAAGTTCCATTTCTTGCTACAAAATTATGAGGATTAAAGTAAAAACTTACTTTTTTTGTTTCATCAGTAACTTCAGTCTAGTATATTCAACCAACATCTAATTCTCTCTGGAAAGCTTGGAGGATTAAACTAACAAGGGCTTTAAAATATTCACGGAAGTTGCAAGCAGTGGCGATTCTGAACAGTAGTCTCTTTGCCAGTCCTGCCTTTGAAGGGCTAAAGCGCATGTGCATCCAAGGCTGGCTCTGAAATTCTGACGATTTCTGAGTCATGCATTGGCCTGTTTATAGCATTTTAATGGGAAGGGATGAAGAAGTTAGACACTTGCCTAGACTTTTTGAAATCATTTCCTCCCTTGAAAATGTCTTTTATTTCTTAGTCCCTTCCTAGAGAATATCAAAAGAAAACCCCCTGCATCTTGACAAAGGTCAATCCCCAGACCTTTCACACCTTAAAATCTATTCCCTTCTCCCCGCCCAGCTCAAGATTTGAAATAAAATGGTTTTGCAGAAATGGATGACAAGATAGCAAGGGTTGCGATTAATAACCCTCCAAACACCTTGGTACACACCTCCCCTATTTAAAATGAAAAATTACCCTTTTCCCTGAGACTCTATTAAAAAGGGGATCAAAAGCAGCAGGGAAGAGTTGATATAATGCAGTCCATCCGCAGCAGCCTTCGGAGGGAGGAGTGGAGGCCCCGCCAGCGGAGCAGCTGGCAGTGGGACGATGATGAGGCTCTTTGCCTCTTCATCCCCAAACTTCTCATTTTGAAATGGAGGCATGGAGAGGTGAGGATTTGATGGTGATGGGAACTGGGCGGGGTAAAGCCTTTCTTCCTCTCTGTTCATCGGGGCAAGTTAATTTGAAACAACTTCAGGACGGGGATACTTGGGGGCAACTCGGTGCTTCCTTGAATCTAGTGGAGGGGTGTGTGTGTGTGTGTGTGTGTGTGTGTGTGTGTGTGAACAACTGTAGGCGAAGGGGGGCAGTGGGCCCAGCTTATCTATAGGTGACTACCCTGGAAGAGGTTTTAGCCAAGTCCTATCACTCATTCACACTCATTTATAAAATGAATCAATAGCACCTACTTGACAGGGCAGGTAAGGTAAGCACAGTGAATGGCTGGGGAGCAAATTGGGTGAGTCCCAGGTACCCAGAATAGATGTCTCCAGCGATCTCAATCACCTGCCTACTTGCCTGCATCATCGTGCTGGTCCAGCCTCTGAGCTGACGGCTTCACTCACTTTATCTCATTGTGTGCTCCTTACTTCACTCTGATATTTGCTCACATGCCCACTGTCACTTCCTCATTCTCTGCTGACTGAAGGGACTCCCCAGCATTGTTTTGTGTGTGTGTGTGTGTGTTCCAAGCCCTGCTTGCTTTCCTATTATTGCACTTATTATCTTTCCCATTATTGCACTTATTATCACTGACAATCACAGATAATGGCATCTTATAGATAATATTTTATCTGTGTCATTTAATTGTTTATCCCCTTTCCTCCCTTGTTCCTCCACAAAGTATGCAAGCTCTGCAAGGACAGGGACTTGGGCCTTTTTCATTCATTGCTCTGTCCCGGTTCCTAGAATAATGCCTGGTACTTGAGAGGTGTTCACATGTCTATGAAACACTTGGATGAGTGAGTGGATGCATGTGACCGTCGTTGCACCCTCCAAGGGAGCCATGATCATTCTCATTTTATAGACCTCAAAACCGAGGCTCAGAGAGGTCAAGTAACTTGCCCAAAGCCACAGAACTGTCATTGTTGGAGCCAGAGTTCTAAGCCAGATCTCTCTGAGTCCCTATCACACATTCTTCCATTTCACCCAGGGAGGGTGGGAGCTAGAGTTACAATGTCCTAGTTGCTTCTTTGTGGCCTTAGAATGCAGTGTATTATGAAGATAACAAATATTTTTACTTTCTTAAACAGGTTTTACGTATGTTAATTGGACAATAAGCTTGTATTCCTTGAACAAATACAGTGTAGTGTGCATATGCTGTCACATGTGTAGTGTGTATACAGTGTAATGTGCACATAGGCATAAGTACAGAGTGTAACACACCTGTTTTTTTCTCTGCTTCTTTGTTACAACTCAGGCGGCAACCTTTCCAAACAAGACTGGACCATCCAGTGGCCCACCACGGAGACGGGGAAGGAGAACAGCCCAGTGTGTGCCCCGGAGCCGACGCCATGGATCCGCACCCACCTCTCCCAGAGCCCCAGGGTGCAGTCCAAGTGCGCCCAGCTCTACTGTCATGCCAGCCCCACTCCTGGGGCCCCCGTGTATACCCAAGTGGACAGGCTCACCGTGGACACCTACCCGGGCCTGTGCCCGCCACCGCCCCTGGAATCAGGCCACCGTTCCCTGCCCCCGTCGCCCCGGCAGCGGCATGCAGTCCGCACCCCGCCACGCACCCCCAATATCGTCACCACCGTGACCCCGCCAGGCACACCACCCATGAGGAGGAAGAACAAGCTGAAGCCCCCAGGGACCCCACCGCCCTCCTCCCGGAAGCTGATCCACTTGCTCCCGGGGTTCACGGCCCTGCATCGGAGCAAGTCCCACGAATTCCAGCTGGGCCACCGCGTGGACGAGGCCCACACGCCCAAGTGAGTGCATGGTGGGTGCCCTGGGGCAGCTGAGCCCGGGGCTGTGGGAGGGGGGTGGTGGGGGGCTGCCCGCCTTGAGGCCCAGGACCTGCCCAACACAGGGAAGCCTGAACAGACTTATATTTCCCTCCTCCAGTTGAATGAAAGATCCATGAGAAAATAGAGTGGAATTTTCTAGAAATGACCCTTCTGAATACTATTACTGTCCTAAAGTAGAGGTCTGGAAACTGTAGTTTGGGGGTCAAATATGAATCTCTGGCCACAAAGTCAGGTTCATATGTATTGTCCCTGGCTGCTCCCCCACCGTGATGGTGGCGTTGAGTATGGCCGGAAAGCCATAGATACTGACCACGGGGCCCTTTCCGGGGAAGTTTGCCAACTTCCGGGGGGTCTACCTTAGAGTTACCCCTAGAAATAGGATGTGAATGTCACAGGCAATATAATGTTTTCTAGTGGCCACATTCAAAAGAGTGAAAATAAACAAGGGCTAGGCATTTCCATAATATGTGTTATGTAGCCCATTATATCAAAATGTTGTCACTGCAGCGTAGAGTCCGGAGGCATTTTGCTGTCTTTTTTCCCACCATATGTTCAAAATCCAGTGTATATTTTACGCTTACTGCTGATCTCGATTTGGATTGCCCTCCTTTCAAGTGTGGAATGGCCACACGGGCGAGGGGCTATTGTCCAGGTCAGCCCTCGGCCCACCCTGTGCAAGGGACATGCTTAGTGTTGTAACTAAGATGCATGTCCTGACCTGCTCAGCTTCCTTGTCAAAATGTTAGTTGACCATACACATATGTGGGTTTATTTCTGGGCTCTTGATTCTCTCCCATTGGTCTGTGTGTCTGTCTTCATGCAAGGACCACACTTTAAACATCAGCCTTTCTTTGGACCCCTGTGGGATTTATTGGGCTGAATTGCCCACTTCCTCCTGGTCTGCCAAATCGATTGGGCTGACCTTCAGTGTTTCTTGAAATTGTGTATCAAGATTCAGGTTAAGTTCAGCTTTGCCCATCAGAGTTCTTCTGTTCAGTTTAGCAAGCTCTACACTTCCTCAAGGAAGGTCCTCCCCGGGCACACCTCCCAGGGCTGCCGAGCTTCGTGGCAAGGAGCCAGCAGAGGAGAGCGGTGGAGTGGTCAGTTTGGTGGTGTGGACGATGCCATGTGACTACTTGGCCTGGGACCACACCACCATATCCACAGGGACACGAGGGCACCTGAACGTTAGATGTTAAAAAAGATGCAGGATAGAGTCAGTGGTGCCTGGACTGTGTGGGCCGGGGGAGCAGGGCTGGAGAGGGATTCTAACCAGGGAGATGAATGAAGGGCTTATAGAGAGACATTAGTTGAGTTGAGTTGTGTTCTAATAAGTAGACTGATAACAACAGCCAGCATTTACATCCTGGTTCTGCCAGGAAGTAGCCTTGTGACCTTTGACTTAACCTCTCCACGGCTTAGCTTTCTCATCTGTGAACCAAAGGGGTTGGAATACATTCGTGCTTTTAAATCTGCGATCATGCTCACTCATGGATGGCTGTGACCAGCACTCCAAAAAGGAAATGGCCTCGCCTCGCCTGGGTCCTATTGGGATGCATTGCCTGCGGCTGCAAGACCTTCCGTGACGCCTCCTTTATGGGCTTTGCTTCCTTCCCTGCCTCACCTCTCCACGTTGTCATGCTTCCCGGGACCACCTCCCAAATATACAACTTGCACCCCAAAACCTCTCCCAGGTCTGGTTTTGGAGGAACCCAAACAAAGATAGGAATAAAGGTAATCTTTAATATGATTGTGTTCAGCTCTATACATAGCTGTGTGCACACATTTTTACTAAATTAAAGATTTGTTGGTGGAGCCCCAGTCGGGTTGCTCAGTTGGTTGGAGCATCCACCAAAAAGGTGGTGGGTTTGATTCCCAGTCAGGGCTCATACCTAGGTTTCGGGTTCCGTCCCCGGTTGGGGCACAAACAGGAGGAAACTGATCGGTGTTTCCCTACATGGACCAGGCCCTGGGATACAGAAAGGCGTGTGGAGGCAAATCCCCTGGTCAGTGTGAAAAGCCCCAGTGTAAAGAAAGATGTCAGGTTTACACATTTGATCACATTTTGGAACAGTCAAGGGTTTCTTTTCCCCTGAGCAGAAGGGAACGGTGTCAAGGAGAGAAGTGACATTGGGTGCCATTATAATGGGATCTCGTGGATGTGTTGAGTAGGCTGGGCAGAGAGGATGGGGAGAAACTCCAATACCCAGTCTGACCTGATTCAAATGACCGAAGGCAGGCTTGGCACGTCTTGCACATCTAAGGCCGGCCATTCCTCCTTCTGTTCCAAAGGCAGGCATTTCTCATGGGCTCTGGTGTGCCATCAGAATCCTTCTCAACACAAGGCTCTTGGGAAGTCACTGCCAGTCGGTCAAAACTGGAACGTTCGGTCATCGCATTTCTATCCCTTCCCAAAGCCCTTCATTCTATTGATTAGAGCCAGGGATTCTTCTCTTGTTGGGGTTGTGACTGAGAATATGAAACGAAGGTGAGAAAAAGCGGGGGAAGAGTGTATCATCCTTGCGCTGGTAAACAGACTTCCTGGCTGCTGTTGTTGGGCACCTGTGGTTTGTTGGTGCTGTGATTATCTTATAGATGGAAGTGTCATCCTACAGGTCCATGTTCATGCAAACCATGGCTGCTTAACCACAGGTGGGATGATGGGTTTGGTGTGACACCGGAGTCTCGAAGACATCGTCATAGTCACTGTTATTGCCATCCTAGAGGGAAGGGCATTAGAGTCACTTAGGGCCGCGGTACCTGGGAATAAAAGCACGTCTGCTGTCCAGGAAGCTGCAGGGTTTCCTGAGGGACTTCATTCCTGGAGTGGAATTGATGGTCCCTTTTTCTCTCCGGTGGTAATCATGTTGAATCATGTTGAGTTGTGGCTCCCTCCCCTCTGTGAGAAATGGCTCACCTGTCCAAATTTCAAATGACGGACTAGGAAACAGAAGCATGGCGAAAATGAGACTGTTAATAACACTCTAGAGCAGTGGTTCTCAACCTTCTGGCCCTTTAAATACAGTTCCTCATGTTGTGACCCAACCATAAAATTATTTTCGTTGCTACTTCATAACTGTCATGTTGCTACTGTTATGAATCGTAATGTAAATATCTGATATGCAGGATGGTCTTAGGCAACCCCTGTGAAAGGGTCGTTCGACCACCTAACGGGTTGCGACCCACAGGTTGAGAACCACTGCTCTAGAGAGCGGACTCCCATTTTACAGGATCACACTTGGGGGGAGGAACACAGCCTATTTACTTAGACCCTCCTCCAGTTCCTCATTGGCTGAGCACCATTTGGCCACCTATTTCCTAATAGGTCGCCTAGGTCTTGCTGTCTACCATTGGGTTGTTTAAAAAATGGGCTGGGGCTTTCTCTAGTCACCTCCATCTCCCTTTGTCTAGGGCAGCGGTTCTCAACCTGTGGGTCGTGACCCCTTTGGTGGTCGAACGACCCTTTCACAGGGGTTGCCTAAGACCATCCTGCATATCAGATATTTACATTACGATTCATAACAGTAGCAACATGACAGTTATGAAGTAGCAACAAAAATAATTTTATGGTTGGGTCACAACATGAGGAACTGTATTTAAAGGGCCAGAAGGTTGAGAACCACTGGTCTAGGGCAGTGGTCGGCAAACTCATTAGTCAACAGAGCCAAATATCAACAGTACTTCAAAATAGACTCGCCCAGGCTGAAAACCGACTTCTGTGCATGGGCCACGAAGTTTCAATCACACTGTAGGTGCGCCCGCACGTGGTATTTTGTGGAAGAGCCACACTCAAGGGGCCAAAAAGCCACATGTGGCTCCCGAGCCGCAGTTTGCCGACCACGGGGCTAGGGGAATCTTCCTAGGACATGTGCTATCAGCCAGGTGCACAGCTCTCCTCCTCTCTCCCCACCCCCTCATCCTGTTTGCTCTGGGGCAGGGGTCCTCAAACTATGGCCCGCGGGCCACATGCAAATACAAATATTGTATTTGTTCCCGTTTTGTTTTTTTACTTCAAAATAAGATATGTGCAGTGTGCATAGGAATTTGTTCATAGTTTCTTTTAAACTATAGTCCGGCCCTCCAACGGTCTGAGGGACAGTGAACTGGCCCCCTGTTTAAAAAGTTTGAGGACCCCAGCTCTGGGGAAATTCAGCAGCCACCTGGCCACATGCTGTTTCTTTTCTATGACGATAAATCAGAGGCATATTTCTTACCTCCCCCCACCCCCTCTTTGCCTTGCCACTGGCAGGCGCCAGCCTTCTGGGAGTCAGTGTCACTTGGTTGCCAGATTAAATGCCCGAAATCTATTCGCTATAGAGGGTGGTGCCACTTCTGGAAAAGACAAAGAGAAGGCACTGTTCTCTGTCTTGATTTTTGACTTATTTGATAGAATTTGAAACCAACTTCTTAGTGTGATAAATGGGGAGATAGAAACATTCCTCCCAGGGCCAACCTCTCCACTGTGCATTGGCTCCTGACGGTGGCTTGAGTCATCGGGGGCAGCTGCCCAGCACTTTGATTTAAGATAATGGGGACCGGGATGAGGGCATGATATCAGCATGGGGTGGAGCAGTCACACGGAGACCGGCAGTACGTGAGGCCTTTGAAAGCCAAGACAGAGGACAGGAACAAGGTTGGGGACAGCTGAGACCCCAGAAATGCCTCCAGAAACTGGAGGCCGAGATGAGGAAACTATTCAAAGCCAAGTGTGTGGCCTCAGCATGCCAGGCGTAAGATAGCCACAAGACAGTAGCCACGAAACAGTCATGATGGATTGTTGTTAAATAGGGCACCTCTAGGGTCGCCACTGGGGCAGGGGCGGGTCCTGGGCCCACCCAGAGTGAAACCGGGCCCCACCTGGCTCTCTGTACCACATTATGCCTGATGGAAGGATTTGATGGTTGAGTCTATCTCATTCATTCATTCATTCATCATACTTTTTTACCAAGTCCTACAGGAAT